GTCGACGCTTGGGCCCAGTGCACTTACTTCTAAAATTAATTAATATAGGTATCTAGAAGAAACAAGGGTATTGTAAAGTTAATTTGCAGAAAAGAAACAGGTTTTTTTGATAAGGGGGTTGACTACAAGAATAGATATGGGTTGATTTCCGAGTAGAAAATGCCTTTAGTGGAAGCGTACAATTCATCGATTTGCATTCCTTCAGTGCTATTTCTTGACAATCAGGTTCTTGGCAAAAAAAAAGTGTGTGTGTGTGTGTGCGTGTGTGTGTGTGAAAGTCTGTTCGGATACAGTACAGCATACATACAACATATATACATTTCTTACAACCGGTCACATTAAGTGCATTAGGGGAGAGGCTTCTATCCTTTAATGCTCCTGGATTAATTTACCCCAGTGTAATAATCACCCTAGAAAGCTATTACAAAGCTACTCTTTTTTTACCAAGAACCTGTTTGTCAAGAAAAGCAATGAAGGAATGAAAATCGAAAAACTTTACCCTTCCATTAATGGCACTTTTTACTCGGAAATCAGTCCATACATAGTTTTTTTTTTTTTTCAAATCAACTTTACAGTACCTTTGTGTCATATATACTCACATATATACTACAAACCATCTTGAAATACACTTTGCAAATAAAAGTTTCTAGTTTAAATGCGCATACATTAAAGTTATCTACAGAGGTAAAGGAAAGACTAGTGTGCATCACGGATTGACAAGGATGGACCTCTTAATTCATATAGATCTATTACATCACTCTCCTAGTTCCTGCACTAAAAAGGAATGTAAATTTAGAAGAAAAAATATAATACCCATGTATAGGAAACTACTACGCAATTACTTCGAAGTAATAGGACTCTCTTTGTCATACAAGGGCTGTAATAAAGGTAAGAAAGACCCTCGCAATCAAGGGTCGCACGTGGCACGTCGGTTAAAAACGAACATACAGAAATATATACTGAGCCTTTCACGCAGAGCGGAGTGGCACGCCACTTGCGACGCCAATATCCGACTTGTCCGTTATTTTTCAGCGTACTACCCGCCACCTCGGACTGTGTTGTCCAATTTTAATGGAATTCTTACATCCAAAGTTGTTCTTAGCCGAGTTGATATAAAAATGTTAAAATCAGATAACGTATGATTAAGGAAAACTTCTGGATGTATGAGATTTATAGAGTAGTATTGAAGTGTATACTCAAATTTTCAGTGATCTCATGCTCCTATACATTCAAGCCGTACGTAGTACGAAAATGTAAACAGAGATGCAGCTCCTGCTGTTCAGCGAAAACATTGATGCATTGATGTGCAGTAGTTTCAGTAGTTTCAGTAGTTTGACACAAGTTTGCCGTATAACCTGCCCGAAAGTCCTCTACTTTATTAGTCCAAGTGACATGGATAAATATGACAATTTTACTTAGGACTTCGGACAATTATAACATGTCATTCTCCAATGATATCATATTATAAACCGAGTGCCATGTGCCATGCGTAACCTTGGTCTGAAATCACCGTGCCACGTGTCACTTGCCAAGTGTGACGTGTCACTTTTGTGTGAATATATATAAAGCGGATGAGGGAAATTAAGATGACATTGGAGCCCCATCGCAGGCCGGAGTACCGACAGCTCTCGTGGGCATGAGTCACACCGGGAGAAGTTAAAATTCTTTGATTCAAATACGTGTCTTGGGAGAGGCTCATTACTGTTACTATCGAGTGTTTAGCAACTTCACGCTACTTTTTCAGAGCAGCATGGCTAAAGTCAAATTAAGTACTCACATAACTTAGCCGCTGTTACGTACTCCTCGAAATAATAAGCTATAGATATTACTACAAGGAATGTTAGTTCTTTGAATCGACTACAAGCTAAAGAGAAGCGGGCAATAGTTTCATGTGTGATTTGAAGGAAAAATACCATATAACTATGAAATACTTAATAGCATACGCCATTTATACGTATATTATAATTCATCCATAGTTATTTGTATCAATATCGCGAGATATACACATATAGATTTTACTGTTGGATTTAGAGGAAAGCTTCACTCCCTCAAAACATCAAAGAACACTTACGATATTCAAAGCAGACGTAATCTATAACCTCAATATTTAAGGCAAAAAGATAAGACACGGCCGCTGCATGTATTTCCGTACAGCGTGATTTACCCTCACGAAATGTTTATAAAACAACGGCATTCTGTTCTGCTCTATATAAGATCCAATTAACTTTCTGCGCCGTTCCTACACCGTTCTGTACATAGTGTATATATGTGCTATGCAGATACGTATCTGTATACAATCTCTTTGTTGGGACATGGAAGTGGGACTAAGTGGTTTATTCATATTTAGTTAATGGCAGTTTTATGTATTCTTATGATACTAAATAACTGTTACTTTAATTAAATCTTAGGGTCAACTTAATAATACCTTAAGGTTAGCTTAGTATCCTAATATCAAATTAGTAAATAAATATTCATTTCATGCCCTTATTGTCAACTATTACCTATATTCATAATGTTTACGTAAAACCTTCATTTTAGCTAAATTCCTTAATATCACTTGTTATCTGTCAACTTACTACCTTCGTCAAAGTTAATTATAGTCAAGTTAATATCTTGATCAAAGTTTATTATTGTTAACTTAATACCTAATATCAACATACTAACTTAATACTTACTTAACGCCGTCAGTTTAACACTTAATATTAGCGTATCACTTGTTAGCTTAATACCTTTGTACTGAACGGACCTTCAAGCATACACTGGGCTATAAACTCAGGCAAATCAGCTGTGCTTTGCATATTTCAGTTTTATGCTTGTTTCACGTGACATGCAGTTTTTAAGGTACATTTGTTGCCAAATATGTAAACTGCGACTACGTACCTGTAATTCTCGCTTTCCTCTCTCTCTCTCTCTCTCTCTCTCTCTCTCTCTCTCTCTCTCTCTCTCTCTCTCTCTCTCTCTCTCTCTTTCTCTCTCTCTCTCTTTCCCTCTCTCTCTCTTTCTCTCTCTCTCTCTCTCTCTTTCTATCTTTCTTTCTTTTTTTTTTCTTTGCTCTTTGTTTTGTTTAGCATGACATGTTGGGTATTAGTTTAGGATTTTTGAATATATAGATAGATGTAATCTGTGTTCTAATGGCGTATGGTGTTGCTTATTATAGATTCCGCCCATGGGTATAATTTGGTTATAAACATTTTGGAATATTTTATAGTTTCCATAGAAAGGGCACGAATTTTTTTTATGTCATTACGTTACTTTCTTGTCAATAACTGAGTTATATATTTATTCATCATTTTATCTAATTTTATTAATTCTTCTATTCATTATTATTTTTCATTGGTAAGAAAACAAATATTGAATAAGTCATCGTTGTATCGCCCTCCTTTGTCGGAAATATGAAAACAATTATAAAGTAACGCAGACACAATGAACATAAATGATAAATTGTGACGGTTCGAATCCACAAAAGACGAATCAAAATGATCCATTTCGTTTTCGACTCCGCCTAAAGAAGAATCCTTGGTGAATTCGAAACAACCCGCGTGCTTTATCTCTTTTTATTTTATTATCACCGTTACTTTGCATGCATGTTATCATATACATACATACATACACACATGCATACATACATACATACATCCATACATACATACATACATACATACATACATACATACATACATACATACATACATACATACATACATACATACATACACACATACACGGTTGTGTGTGTGTGTGTGTGTACACATATGCATACATAATCAGCAACTAATCCCGAATTTTCTCTTCGACCAACCTATAAAAACCTGCCTTTTAAAAAAAATGGACGATGGATACACACATGTAGCCTCAGTGGAGTCTCGTCTCTGACTAGTCGAAGAAAACGAACATTTGCTGATGTTCCTTTTGTTGTTGTCCGTCTCCCGGGTGACGACGCTTTTCACCTGTTGAGGCGTAATGGTAAGAAGGACGGAGTGGATGATTATTCTTCTATTCGCTTCTCTCGCTGTCTTTCTGTTTGTGTGCCTGTGTCTCTGTGTTTGTGTGTCTCTGTCTGTCTGTCTCTCTCTCTCTCTCTCTCTCTCTCTCTCTCTCTCTCTCTCTCTCTCTCTCTCTCTCTCTCTCTCTCTCTCTCTCTCTCTCTCTCTCTCTCTCTCTCTCTCTCTCTCTCTCTCTCTCTCTCTCTCTCTCTCTCTCTCTCTTGTTCACTTCTATTGTTGGTCGGTGATACAAACAACAGATAATAATCCCCTGCATATCATTAATGAAAGTAATATAGTTTTATACATTGTACCTGGGTACACGTTTAAGTACTAAGTGCCTTTGTGTGTGCGTGTGTATCAATGACCATATGAATGTGCATATGCATCTAGAATTTTGAGTTTTTTCCCAAAATAATACAGCCGCCAATATCAGTTGCTAATTTAACTTTCAGACAAAAATGATTAAATGATACGTACAGATCCGTAGATAGATTGTTGTCATATCTCGGGTGTTTATTTTCTTTTCCCTCGCGTATGGAAAAATACACAATTACACCATCAAAAGTTGCTATGGTCTCAGTGTTGTAAATAAATCCTCAATTCTGAAACGTGTCAGCCTAGCGGTGTTAGTTCTGGCACCACGAAAAAGGAAGGCATTAGTTAAATAATTCCAACATTATTATAGCCTCATTTCAGCTTTTTTTTTTCTTTTTTTTTCCTTTTGTTGGGGAGTAGCGAAGTGAATATAATCAGTTACTAGGACGTTGCCTAGAAATATAGTTATTTTAGGGGCATTTTTAAGCTTTAAGCTACCAGAGCTAAAAGGTGTAATTTAGGCAAAAAAAAAAATGGTTGGTGTGTGGTCCTTTTTTTTTTTGGGGGGGGGCGAAGCCAGATCGTGAGGGGGGCAATCAGAGTCTTGGGGAAGGCAGTGGATTCGGTAATATTTCCAAAGATTCAACCAAGTTTTGTAAGATAAATGAACTACGACGAATTTTCCTGAACAACTCTCCT